CCCAGCCAAAACAGGGGCATCCCAGAGCACATGGCACAGGATTGTGTCCAGACAATTCTTGAATATCTTCAGTGAAGGAGACTGTACAACCTCACTGGGCAATCTGGTCCTGTGCATGGTCACCCACACAGTGAAGAAGTTCTTCCTCATATTCAGGTGAAATTTCCTGTGCATCAGTTCCTGCCTGCTGTCTCTTATCCTATTACTGAGCCCCACCAATCAGAGCCTGGTCCATCCTTTGACGCCTCCCTTCAGGTAAATCCACACATTGATAAGGCCCACTCTTGGTCATCTCTTCCTGATGCTGAACAGCTCATCTGTGGTGACACCATGAATAACAGAATCATAGACTGGTTTGGGTTGGAAGGGAGCTTGCAGATCGTTTCAACGCTGTGCCGTGGGCAGGGACACCTTTCACTAAAGCAGGTTGCTCAGGGCCTCATCCAGCCTGAATTGAAGGGGTTTGAGTAAGAATGACCTGGTCCTGCTATCAATACTCAGGTTCCCAAATATCATACTGTCTTGGGTCTAGAAAAGCAAGAGTGGGAAATATATGGCCTTTTGTGTCTGCTCAGCATGACTGTGGATGAATTGCTGAATAATATCCCTAAAACTCTTTGGGGCTCTTTTTTTCCTCTGTCCTTGTTGGCCAAATTTTCTGAAAGGTTCTCGTGGAGGAGAAGTTTCCATACGTAAAACTGTCCTTCTCAGATCTGGTAGCTTTTCCCTCTGGATCAGCACTTTTCTGAACTCACAGATATGTCTGTATAGGAGAGGTCTGATTTATACTTGAAACTCAGAATGCTGAAGAAAAAAGTGGGGCTCAAATTGCACCCACATAAAGAAGCTGTTTATCAGAATAAGTTTGAAACATCAAAACTTCTTTCTTATATTCCTGGTTTTAGTCCTGACTAATGATGGCTTGTCAGTTTCTCTTTTGTTCCTTCTGCATTAAGACTTTTTTCTTTGTTTATCTCAGGTTTTTATCCTCACCGTTTTTCTGTCTCCTTCTTATTTCTTCTTCATCTCATGACCCACTTGTCTCCTTTGTTCACTTTATCATCCTCGTACATGTTATCAGCGAGGCTCATAGACTTCTACCTCTTTGGTGACCTGTGTCATTTTAGTGCTGCAGTTTTTCTTTAGCAGTTATCCACGTATCGTGCATTCCACTGGCAAACGTGTGCTTCTGCTCTGTGCTCTTCCAGAGATGAAGCCTGACATTGTCATCCTCAGCCTAGGAGGACTGTGGGTCCTTAAACTGAGGTAATATCATAGGTCCTCATTTTAGACTATTATGCACGAGGCAAGTCTGTTGCCTTCACGTTAAGTGAAGTTAGTCTGAAGCTTTGCTGAATCTGCCTATTTGTAACTGAATACAAGCACTGAATACAAGAATATATTTCTAAGGATGGAGAAACAGGGGTATACATCAGATAAACTTGTCTGATTAATCCTTATCCATAAATCTCTATTATTTGTGTTCTGGATAGTAAGAGATAAAAAATAAGTAAGATTGATTCAGGTCATGTCTGTAGCTGTCCATTCTAAAGGAAACACCTAACTTTGACCTCCTCACTTCTCAGCCCACTTTAGTCTCATGTTCTGTTAATGAAACCAAGTTCCCAAGCACATGTGCAGGGAAAGTAACCTGCTCTGAAATTGTTACTAAAGATGATCTCTCAAGGAGATTCAGCCTTGTAAGGCAAATCTCAACTCAGTTCTACATGAAGTCAAAAATAAAGAGTGATCTTAGCAGAAGGCCTTTCCTGATCTTTTAAGGAAAGATATATTTATGGCAAATAGCTTCCCTGGTTCACATTTCAACTGAAATTTTTTATCTGTTCAGTGGCACTGTGTAACCCATGATATATCAAAATCCAAAGCTTATCATATAAATAGAAAAGGGAGACAAAGCCATCTCATGGAAAGGTTGAGAGAAATCCAGCTTTTACTACTGTTTCACCCACTCACATACAGGGGAACTTGTTTTTCCCATCCACAGGAGTGTTATCAGCTACAGAATCATGGAGTCATACAATAGTTTGTGTTGGAAGGGAATTTAGAGACCATGAGTTCTATGGGTAGGGACACCTCCTCCTAGGGCAGGTTTCTCAAAACTCCATCCAGACCCATCAGCCTGGCCTTGAACATTTCCAGGGGTAGGGCATTCCCAATTTCTATGGGCAACCTGTACCAATGCCTTATCATCCTCACAGTAAAGAATTTCTTACCAGTATCCAATTCAACCCTACCCTCTGTCAGTTTGAAGCCATTCCCTCTTGTCCTATCACTCCATATCCTTGTCCCAAGTCCCTCCCCAGCTCTCTTGGAGCTCCTTTAGGCATTGGAAGGGGCTCAAAGTTCTCCACAGAGCCTTCTCATCTCCAGGCTGAACACCCCCAGCTCTCTCAACCTGTCTCCATGGCAGAGTTGCTCCAGCCTTCGGAGCATCTTTGTGGCTTCCTCTGGATTGTATACATCAGCTCCACATCCTTCCTGTGTTGGAGGTCCCAGAGTTGGTTGAAGCTCTGCAGAGAGGAGTCTCACAAGAGCAGAATAGAGGGTGGGAGGTCACCTTTCTTGACCTGCTGGTCATGCTGACAAAGAGATCTTCACATCACAGAAAATCATAACACAGGTGTGTTAAGAGACTTTTGGACCCTTTTGGAATGCAGAAACCCCTTGGAGAGAAATATTAGCTGCATAAAGAAGCATATTGGAAACTGTGGGCATAGGAAGAAAGGGTTAAAGCTGGCTGCTTCCTTTTAGTATCATGGCCTGCACCCCAACATCATTGTGTGTACAGAGCAGCCATAGCAGCCCAGCGTGCTTCACCAATTAGTTACTGCTCATATTTCCCCTGTTTCATAAATCAGAGTCATAAAAGGCCTCATCCCAGAATACCAGAAGAATGTGTTTAAAATATTTTATTTGAAAAGGAGAAGAATGGGAGTCGGGGAAAAAAAAAAAAAAAAGAATAAATGTGCTTATAGCATGCTCCTTTTCTGATGTATACCAAAAAAAGGAAGCAAGTTATTCTCAACACACAGAAGTTGAATAATTACCTCTGTTCCTTAAGGCAGTGTTATCATATTCGATGTATTTTTTCATTAAGCATATCAGACAGAGATCAATGAATGTAGAAGAGTTCTCTCTTCCCCGTAGCAGTGAATGCTAATGGTGCTGAATTGCCGTGATACCACACACCTCTCAGAAAGAAACAAATGCTGTGCACTCCATTAGAAAACTAAGAGCCTTTGCTACAACCAGAAGAAATCTCCATTTTGAGAATTGATGAATGGAAAGCTGCAAATCCACCATTAGTGTAGGAAAGAATCTTTTTTTCTTCTCTGAGCCCCCAGCTAATGCTCTTTAGACAGGAGATGGGAGGACTGCACATTGCCAATCTCTTCTCTTGAAGGTTGTTTTAAAATACAAATGTTCACATACACACAGACTCACTGTAATTATAACTGTAAATGCTGAAAAATTAGTTTTCCACATATGAGAGCCTGCAGACTCAGAGGAGGCGTGATTTTGTGACTGTCATTTTTCACCGAGTGTCACCACCACACATGCTGCTTGTACCCACCAGCTGATTGTGATGTAAACATGGAATCATTCCACTAAAGCCTATTTCTGACACTTCAATGACTTTGAAACAGTCTGAAGCTTCCATAAGCCAACATGGAACAAAATCCTACAGTTCAGGACCAAAAGGAAAAAGATGGCTTTTGTTTGGTATTCATGTCTTCTTTCCCTTTTCACCAACAACATCTCAGAATTAACTTGGACATAGAGAAACTCTAAGAGAAAGAAAATAAATCAAATTTACTTCACCAAGTCTCATCAGTAGAATTTATTTTGGAAATACAGGCTGTACCACTGAGATGAGAGCCTTTGTATTTTTCACTTCAGTCAATATAGCAGAAATGAGAATTTCTGTAGTACAGTTTATCTGAGCTTTGTGTCTACATCTGTTCACGTGAAACTCCACCACTGTGGTTTAACAACCAGAGTGACTCTAAAAGAGCAGAAACTTGTATGTGTTCTAATTGACCAGCTGAAAAATGACCTTCTGCTGTTGAAAACATTAATTCAAGATTCATAAAGATAAAAGAGATATTGGTTTTAATTCATCTGTATCATTAAACATGGTGAATTAAAGTCCTACTACGAAAATTCCCAGGAAAAAACACATGAAAACACCTGTGTCTTTCCAATAGCATTGCTCACAGGGCTTATGTTAACAGCTAGATTAAGAAATCATGGATCCACTGACTTTAATAGAGCAATTATGATGTCTATAAACAGAAGATGTCCTGGGGTTTATTGAAAAAAATATCATATTGAAAAAAGGGTGAGAGGAAACTTTATTGTTTGACACAAAATATTCCCTCCCAAGAGACTCCCGCTGAAATATTTCAGAATAATTCAGGGAAAGAAGGAAGGATTGCACAAAAGCAGTTTTCCCTTGAAAAATAAGCTGTCTCCCTGCAGCATGTTGGCACTGGTAACCATTCCTGAGATATGAAGTAGCCTTGGGATTATTCAGCCATTATGTTTAAATAACTAGGTTATGTAGTTTGCCATTATCTTTGTAGTTAGATTGAGAACAAATGATGCAATTTCCTGGTTTGTCAAATTTAACTTTGCTTTTTCTTTGGCTGAGAGGTCCCTTGTGGAAATACCATGCAGTTTATTTACGCTTCATTTGTAAAGCAGATAGGTTTGGATAAATAGACACAAGTTAAAAGTAAACTGATGTGGAAGATGGTGAACATATTTTGCTCTACTTAAATTACATTTAACCTCTATCTGCAAGACTTCAGTGGCCTGCAGACACTCTACATTTTATGCTCTGAATAAATCCATTATTTGTGGGTATTTTTCCTGGCTGCGTCCAAGTTTTCCCTATTATGACAAACTGTGCCTATTCTGCCTCTGTCTTTTCTACCGTTGTCATTTTATTACCATACACACAACACCCGGTTCTGTACTAACTGAAAGTCTCCAGCTGATGCCTGCTACATTTACTTTGTATTGTCTTTGCCTGGTCATCTTGATACAGTTGTGTAAGTACATTTGATACCTCACATGGCAAATAATACTACTCATGCTAATTGAAGGCAGCTTGGCCAGGAATATGAAACCCAAGGAGATCAAAAGATGCTTTAAAGCTCCCCTAAAAGCACACTGAACACTGAAAGGAAGTTAACAATTTTAGCACTATTGAAGACACACTATTAAGCAGAAAGATTTGGGCTTTTGAAACAATGGCCAATATGTATGTGAATTAGACATCTGGAGAGATTATAAAAGAAGAAACTCAGAGGGAAATTAAAACCCTATAGAAAGTGTGCTAGTCATAAGGACAGAATGTAGTCTGTAAATCATGCAGAGGAAGGGATACATTAACACATTAATTTTAAGAGTCTCAATCTCGCTTTTATTTATATTTAAGCTTTTAATCCTCGAATAATTAGTCATTACTAGTATTTAATGACTAGTTTGCTAATTAGGTATCCCTAGATGGAAGTAAAAGCAGTTAAACCCTAACAAACTGATCATTAACTACAGTAATGATCAAGTTCTTTGGGATTATTACTATTATAAACTATAATTAACAGTTTATAACAGCTATATTTTATTTTGTATTTTGTTGTTTCTAAAGGAAACATCCTGGAGCACTGCTGAGAGGCTGTGTTAAAATTCTCACTATCAGGAATGTGGTGAAAGCACCTGTTTCCTCCAGTTACAGGGGGAAATATTTAAATGTTTTCTTAAAATAGATGTTATAATATGTGGTTTGTTGTCAGATGTTGGCTGAAGAAGACACCACTGACATATTCTAGCAGCTGGGGGGGGAAAAAGCAAAGAAAAGAAAACAGCTCAGAAATTGTGGAGTGAATGAAAGTCTAACTCAGATTCTGTAAATTTGCTAGCGGGTCAAGTCCCAAACTCTTTTAATTTTTGTCCCATTTTCTACCACAAAGAACTCCTCTTGCAGTTTTCCAGGGAGTATTAACTTGGCTTTCAGTGCTAAATGATCAGGCCTCAGGAACAGAGCTGACTTGACTCTTTTTTTGGCAGTTGCAGTGAACTTGCAGTGAACTTTTCTTTTATGGGGATGGGGTAACAGTAAAGACAATTAGCTCAATTACCAGCTAGATAACTAATTTTTAGTTTTGAACCAAGATGGGTGCCTATTCTCTTAAGAATTCTTCATTAGAGTGTGCATTATCAGAAACATATGGCTAAATATTGCATTCTAGGCAGAAAATCAAATAGGCACCTAAATTTGACCAGCTGAAAGTCTGTATTTAATTTTATACATTGACTTGATCTCCACTGATGCTAATGACAGCTTGGATATCTAACTCGTATGAGGACTACTCTGTAAGTAGGTGTCTACTTCTTTAAGATGAATGTATTTGAGGAATGAAACTCTCCATGGGTGACTGATCTGCAGACTTTCCAGGAAAGAGTACCTGATAAATAACATCTCAACCTTTCCTATTCACTTACCTGGCTGTATTCACAACTCTGCACCACGGGTACTATTTGGTAGTCTTTCTGCTGTTGCTTGAATCAGTGTACTTATGTGTAAATACCTCATATTGTTGTAATTACAATTCCCTAAATTCATCTGAAATATTTTGACCCAAGCATCAGGGTTCTAAAGGTCTGTCATCTCCTTAACATATTTCCTTTCACATTTTCTCTAGCAAAATGCAACTGCTGTCAGAGTGTCAGTCTTTCTATGCCTGTCTTCTGGTTTCATGTCCCAGGTACTGTTCCCAGACTTTGCATCAAAAACTAGGCCTGAAATCAGAATTGTTTCACTGTTGTTTTGCTTTGTTTTTCCTTATTTGGGTTGTGATTTTATTGTTGAGTTCGGGAGGAATTGTATATGCTTTTCAGTTCTGAGGTGTAACCTACTTTAGTCAGCACAGACTCAATTTCTCTGTGTTCTCTGAAGCTGTGGATTAAGTAGTCTAGTTCTGCTCTGTGATTCACCTTTCCAATTCCTCATCCACCCCTCACATTTTCCTGAGTGCTTCTACTACTTTGTAAAGGTTAACTCTAGGAGTTGTACAGATTTTTTGGGAGGTCCCTAGGCACTTAAGTTGTCCATTTTGACCACATCTGTCTAGTTTACCCAGGACTTATCTCTCAGCCAGCTTAGAGGTCTAACCTTAACCTAAGTCAAACTATAATTCACTTGCTTTTTCCCCGACAGTCATGTCAAAGCATAGTGGACTCTGGACTATGAAAAATGTGCTCAGGCAGTGCAGGAAACACTGAACCACAAATTCTCTTGTCACAGAAATATAAAACCACCAGTTTTGCTCATTAGCAGAAATCCTGAACAGAGAGAGGGAAAATAGAACAGAATGTGGGTTGTCTTTCTTCTGTTTTCTTTTCATTATAAAAATTTTGCTTGGCTTATTAGGTAATTTAGACAACATAAAAGAGATAGGCTAAAAACCAGAGTAGGGATAATGGGGAATATTTGTAGTACGTGGAGGAGAGAGGGACTAGGATCAGGGATGGGAATATAATTCAAGGGAGAATCTTGAGGTATGTGTGTGCCCAGGGTAAGTTTAAGGATGTACTCCATGAGCTCAGACTAATGATACAACATGAGTTTTGGTGGGAGAACTGAATAGGTACATCTCCAGGAATCAGCCCTGAAGTGAGAAGGAGCCAAAAATGACCCATAAGGGACATGCAGGTCTACTGAAGTTCTCCACACATTAAATCCTCATTACATCAGGAATGAATAGCACAATCCAGCCTAGTAGGCCCACTTTTCTAAATTAAGGATAAATGAAACAAAAGAGAAAGCTGAAAAATTAAAACCAAGCTAAGAAATTGCCTAGGTTTTGGACAACAATAGAAGTTGTGAAAAGCAGGAGGGAGTATTCGTGACCAGAGCCCTAATTTGCAGGAGGTAGTTATAAGAACAAGAAAAAAAAAGAGGGAATGTAGCAACTAGTGTTGTAGCAACCAGAGACACAGGGTTCAAGGAGTCAATGTAGCTGTTGTCTTGCCCTGAAGCATACTATGGACTTCTGGTTGCAGTGCCATTCATACTTAAAGTATGGCTCAGCAACAACACAACAACCCACTGGGGAAATTAACTGGTCCATTAGCAGGGTTTACAACCAAAAATCAGCTAGTTAGTTTGGGAAAAAAATCATGGCCAAAGAAAAGCAGAGGAGAAAACACAACTCTGGGTTTTAGGCTGGGATCTATCTCTGACCTCAGACCATCAGTTTGTGTCACACTGGTCAGCAGGTGATGGTATCAGTGCCAGTAGCAGTTCCAAAAGCAGTGTGGGGGAACCAGGAACATACTTCAGAGAAGTTTACCCTGTCGGGAGGTCAGAACTGCCCAACTACTTCCCAACTGGAAACACCAGGATCAGAGCTATAAACCCTGAGTAACTCACTGGATTTCATGGATTTATCAACTTGTTCAGCATAAACTGGTGCAGCTGGTTCATACAGGGTAACACACAGTGCAGCCTTGCTGTCCCACATGTCACAGAATCCCAGCCCTGCCGTGGAGCAGCAGTGTTGGAAGCAGGTCAAGCCAATTTTGTTGTCTTTCCCCTTCAGCCACGATGTTGTGCTGTGACTTACAGGGACAGCACAAAATCTATGGTGAAAAGCTAATTTTTAGCAGGTAAGGATCTGCCTAACTGTCCAAACACAGAATGCAAATACTGTTGCATGTAGTTTAATGTGTGTACACGAGTAGCCCACCTGTCACAGAGCAGACACTGATGTTTGTGGGTGTGTTTCCAATTCCTTTGGAACCCGTTTAGAGGGTAGGAGATAAGAAACTACAGGAACACTGTATGTTCCTCAAAGTCATAGGGCAGTCCAAGAACTTATTAATCAGGAGAGCTTCTTAATCCAAATTTACTCAGAATTTTAGGTACCACACACAGACTGATGATGTCTTAGTCTAACACACTTACCTGAGCTGAAATAACTTTTATCATTGGAAGTCTAATGTGCAGTAGCATCAGATAGGGAAAGCAGCCCAGTGCTCTAACTTCTACCATTATGAAGCAGTTTGTCAAAATTCCCCAGGGAATCCTTGTGCTTCTTATTTTGTTAACAGGGAATGCTAGCACTATAACTCTCAGTTCTCAACTGGTACATAAAGGATGTATATTTTTAAATGCAACTTTTATATGTGAAATGCAACTGTTTAAGTGATACAAATTGGCTGGCTCTGAGGTTTTATTAAAGACAACTTGATGTCTGACAATAGCCTTCCATTTACATAATTAAGACAGATGTTACCACTGCAGTAGGCTCTCCAGCATACTGTTATTTTTGTTGTTTTATGATTATATCAGTTTGGAAAGTCTAGAGCTGATATTTTTTTTAAATCCTAGCACACAGTCATGGCCATGTCTGTAATTGTTACTGTTTTTTAGCTTGTTTTAAAACATGTCCTAGATGCTGCTGTGCGCTGTGAAGTTCATGAAGAGAAAGACAATTCTAAATTAGTAAGAAAATAATCAATTTACAAGTTAAAATCCTATTTTTAACACTACAATTTAAGAAAAAAGTAACTCAAAACTGGGGCACTATCCCTAGTGAAGCATCTTTTATCTTTAAATGAGCAGTTCCTTTTCAGTCCAAATCAAATTAGACTAAACATCCTTATCAGAATCAAGACTGGTTAACAGTTTTGATAGGAAGGTTTTGCTTCTCTGCTGGCTTATATTGTCACGAAAGTAATCTGACCTCCTCGTTTCTAAGGATCAAACACTTAGTGACCACTATTTTGTTTTTAGTAAACAGTTGTCATATCTAAACCCACATCAGATTCATCAGTGGAAATTAAATAAGTTTCTTGCAAGTGGCCTTGCTTTTATTGATGGAAATGGTCTTTTGGCAGCTAATAAGCTGCTGGTAAAGGATATGCTTTCTCTGTTCAGATAGTGTGTGCTTGCAAATAGTGTAGGTTGGACCTTTTTTACAAGAAATTGTTAACAAAAGACTTTGATTTGCTGCGCAGCAACATTCGTGTCTAGGGCCTCTGTCCCCAGGAGTAATCATTTAGAGTCTCACTTCAAAATTAAACTCACACAGGAGCTGAAAGTCACTCTGAAATGCACAAGCAAATCCCTCCAGCTTTCCTTCCCCTACTTGTTTGCTTTTCCATTCCCATACTGTCCCTGAATGAAGATCTGCAGGAAAGGAACTGTCAGTGGATCTCATCAGCAGAGGGCTGAAATATTTGGAGTGTGGGATAAGTCTACCGGCAGGGAGGCACCACAACCTCCTCCAGCACAGTGAAGTCTGTATTTAATAGGGATGCTTTTTCCACAAGGAACTTGCAGAGCTGTGGAGAATATCCCTTTGCCTGGCAGGATTTCTCATTATGAAAAATAATCATTGAAAATCTTATTACGCTCTGAAGAGTCTACAAGGTGATTGTGCTGTTGTAATTACATCCGTTCTCTGGGTAGAGGTTACTGTTGGGTATCAGGCCCTTCCAGGGTGGGTGTGCTAGGCTGTCTCATTAAATGCTAACCAAAGACCTAGTGAGGATCAAGGAAGAAACTTTAAGGGAAGGAGCCTTGTAACTTTTCCAGTGAGTGCCCAGAACCCCTCCTTTCTGAGGCCACCCAAAAAGCAGTGGTCAGACAATTCTCTCTGGTATGAAACCCAACAAGCGAAGCCAATGAGGAAAACCTTTCCTCCGATAAGTTGCAAGGAATCCAAAAGAGTTTGCTGGAAACAAGTAGGTCAACAGCTTTAAAACACAGAAATATGCTACCAAATAGCAGCTCCAGAAACTGCTGGAAGGATGAGGCTCTTCTTATCCTTTCATTCGCTGTCCTAAATACCCACTGCTCCCTAAGTAACCAGCAGATGAGTCACTAGAACAGTAATACTGTAAACATTAAAACTAATTAGTGTGGAGCAGGTTTTCAAGGGCTTGGAGAACACCTGGTGACCTTCTCAGTTTAGACTAGCATATAGGACAGAAACAAATGTGAGAATGTACTGTTGGGTGCATACTAGAGATGGAAACTGTTTCCAGATTAAGACAACTGTGTTCATTGTTCTTTCTGTGTACTTGGTTTCCAAGCTGGCGTTGCAGTCACCAAAGAGACCTAGGACTTCATTAAGTGGCATTAATGTGGGCATGTAATGCAAGTAGAAAACTCTAAGTACACCAGAGGTCTCTACTTAAGGCAAGTAGCCCTATGTAAGTCCTACCTTCTTGGGAGGGTAATAATGATCCATCAAAAATTACACTAGGAACCTCAGGTTTGATAAATACTGAATCCACAGTCCCCAGAAACTAAAACTGAAGATGACTGAGCCTCTGCAGGAAACCCTTTGAGGTGGAGTAGCTGAGCCCCAAACTCACTTGGACAGTTCAGCCTGGAGGAGGCTGAGGGGAGACCTCATTGGGGTCTGCAGCTTCGTCACACGGGGTAGTGGAAGGGCAGGTACTGATCTCTGTGGTGACCAGTGTCAGGACCCCAGGGAACGGCCTGAAGCTGTGTCAGGGAAGGTTGAGGTTGTGTATTAGGAAAAGGTTCTTCACCCGGAGGGTGGTTGGTCACTGGAACAGACTCCCCAGGGCAGTGGTCACAGCCCCAAGCCTGACAGAGCTCAGGAAACATTTGGGAGTTTTTTGTTATTTTGGTTTTCCCTACCTTGAAATTTGGAGACCACGGGAATCTGCAATTCAGAACAAACCCCACAACTGTGAACCACTGTGCATTAAATCTCAGAAATCCTTTATCACAGAATCATAGAACTGGGAATCATAGAATGGTTTGGTTTGGAAGGGACATTAGAGCCCACCTCATTCCACCCCCTGCCACGGGCAGGGACACCTTCCACTATCCCAGGTTGCTCCAGGCCCCATCCAACCTGGCCTTGGACATTTCCAGGGATGGGGCAGCCACAGCTCCTCTGACAACCTGTGACAGTCCCTCAACACCCTCACAGTAATGGTTTCTTTCTAATATTTAATCTAAAAATAATCTCAATTTGAAGCCATTCCCTCTTGTCCTGTCACTACATGCTCTGGTAAAAAGTCCATCTCTGTCTTTGCTATTATGCTTGCATAATAGGAGAGATAATTAGGCTCCTTATTATGTTAGCAAAAACATTGAAGCCTGACTTTATTTTTTTATCTAGACATATTTCTCTCACAAACAAAATTCAAACTAATCAATTTATTTAAAGCTTTTCTGTAAAGATTGAAAAACTTAACTAAATTATTTTTAGGTTTTGTTGTTTTGGTTTTTTTTTAAAATATATTTTGAGGTGCATTATTTCTTGCTTCCATACTAGATCATAGGGGATAGTTCGATGTTGTATCCCTATTATTCAGAAAACAAGCAATTTCACACTTAAAGCCTTTAGTAAATGAGTTTTACAGAAGATGAAAAAGAAGACTGGGTGAAATCTAATAAATCCTTCGGATGATGTGAGCATTTCCCTGAATTCTTTATCATCGTTAGCTATTAGGGGCATGTTCACAGCACCCTTTTGATCTATCACTAAAGTCTAAATTACATTCTCTCTGGCTTTGTCCATTTACAAAGCCTGCAAATCAAAGAAATTCTTGGACTTCCCAGTGGCTGAAGTCACTTAGATTTGGCCTTTGGCCTTATAAATCCTCATGAGGGTCATTTTTTGGTACAATACCTAGTGTATCTTAAGCCATCATCAACCTTTAAAATCATTTACAAATCAACTGATACATTGAAAGTTATAAACTTGTCTAAGGAAGGACAATGAAAATTTACAGCATTAAATTCTAGACACCTTCCTTGTGCTTGTGTTAGATGCCTAGTAGCCATAGGCTTCACAGATAAATGAAGAGGAGTAGAAGTCTAATTTAAGGTCTCTGAATTGTACTGTGAATACTTTGTCTTTATGGAATACATACGATGGCTATGGACCCCAGCATCCAAACAAATACATTTAAGTAAAATTTTCAAAGTTAAGCAGAGCTAGTGGGTTTGTTTGGTTTTGGTTTGGGTTTTTTATTGTTTTGTTTGTTGTTTGTTTTTTTTTCCCAATTCTCCATCCAATGTGAGTTCTAGTTATAAATCACTTCTACTGAGAAATTTAATTCTTTGTGAATGTGCTGAACCATTGTCCCTTACTGAAATATAGGAAGTAACTTACTCTTGTAAGTGCATGAGTATTCTCACAGAATCATAAAATTATAGAATCGATATTGTTGGATCATCCAGTTTTTCCCTTGGTGAATCCATGGTGACTCTTACTTATGACCTTCTATTCTTCTATATGGTGAAGACCTCCAGAATGATCTGTTCCATCACCTTTCTGGGCATGGAGGTGAGGCTGACTGGCTGGTAGTTTCCCGGGTCCACCTGATTGCCCATTTTGAAGACGGAGTAACACTGACCTTCCTCCAAACATCAGAAATATTTAAGTCAATATGATGTTCTGAAAAGAAAAAAAAAATATATTAAAAAAAATAGCAGGAAACAAAAATAAAAAAAGGAAAAACAAATAAACAAAACCTCCCCTCCTTATTTCTTTTCTCCTTACTCAAAGTGATTATATATGTGTGAAATTTTGTTTGGTTTGATTTTACAACCTTTGACATTTTACCTAGGCAATAAAAAATTTAAAAAAAACCCAAAAACACACAGACAAAAAAAAACCCCAAAAAACAAACAAAAAACCCCCAAAACCACACCAAATGAAGACAAAGAAACCCTCACCCCAGCAAAAACCCACAAAAAAACCCCCCACCGAAATCCAAAATAAAATAAACTATTAATTACACTCAAACGTCTTCTGCAACTACTCAGGAATCTCTCAGGAAAAGCTTCTCTTTTCTTCCTCTTACAGTTTTTTTTTGGTGTTGTTGTTGTTCATCTTAATTTCTCATCTGTAAATAAACACGAAATTACTTCAAAGACGTTACAGTTAAAATTAATGAGCTGGACTTACAGAGCTTTAACTGGTTTCCAGAGACGAGCTGTAAGCACTGTACCATCGCGCACGGAAAAATAAAACTTCAAGATCTGCCGAGCCTGTTTAACATACATTATGCGTTTAGTATCATGGAAGCAATTGAGCAGGCAAGGGACACAGAGAGCAATCAATATTTTTCACCGCTGAATAACCACAAATCATTTTATAAAAAAAAAATTGTATCCCATTTTATAAAATGGTGGCAGTTGAAGCTATTAGCTGCTCAAGACTTTTGTTTAACTAGAAACCGTCTGGCTTCTGAAAGAAAAGTCAGTTTTAGGAGTATGTTGTAGATGGAGTAGCAGAAATTCTCAGTGTTTGTACTTCAAATGTTCTGAGAGCTGAGGAAGGGGACAGTGAGTGCAAAACCAGCCCTTACCTTGGTAAGGACTTTCTGAAAGCCCTATGGAAACCACCACCGAGGCTGGAAGACTCTCTGCAGGTCTATATACTTCATCCCTAAGAAGTGAGGCACATTTTTGCACCTACTTTA